TGTTGAGGTTTAGGATCTTAGGGGTGCCGGGACCCCAAAATCACAACATTAGGATCCTGCCCAAAAGAATTTGCCAAAGACAAGGTTTATCAGAGATCCACCATATTAGCTAGACTCTTGAGGAATCTGAGAGTCTGTGAGGTACTGGCTAGATTCTAAGAATCTGAGCAGTGGCTAGATTTTAAGAATGTAAGCCCATGGCTAGATTTTAAGAATCTGAGCAGTGGCTAGATTTTAAGAATCTGAATATGTGGTTAGATTGTAAGAATCTGAGCACTGGCTAGATTTTAAGAACCTGAGCCTGTTGACTCTTTTTTTTCATGATTCTCTTGCATTACTCTCATTTCTTTTCCCAGTTTTTCTTCTACTTCTCTAATTCGCTTTTAAAATTCTTAAGCTCTTCCAGGAATTCTTTTTGGGCTTGAGATCAAATTACATTTTTCTTTTAGGCTTCACATGTAGCCATTTTGACACTATTGTCCCTTGCTAAGTTTATGCCTTGATCCTCCCTGTCACCATAGTAACTTTCTATAGCCAAGCCTTTTTGTTTTTACTCATTTTCTGTCCCCCTCCCTCTTTTTTCTGGTGACTTGGGACTTTCATGTGAGAATTGAGCTCTGGTCCTGCACTGTCCCAAGCTTTTTTGTGCTGACTGTGGGTCTTACTGCTGGCTTTCACTGGGCTTCAGGGCTTAGCCATTTGCTTTCTCTGCAGGGTAGGCTTCCCTTCTGGCTTGTACTGGTGGGGTGGGGATTAGCCATTGGCCTGCTCCAGGGGTGGGGCCCTGCTGCTGGGTCATTATGGACAAGGAGGATCTCTCTGTTGGCCAGCCCAGGGACAGGGCTTCACTACTGGTCAGCAATGGGGCCAAACCCTCTCTTGCGTTGGGGTGGCGCCTTGCTGAGCAGCACAGGCCACTCACTTGCTTAGACAGCTGCTGGTCTGCAGGAACGCAGGACCTCAGTGGTGGATTGGCTCAGGCTTGGAGCCTTGCTGCAGGCCCCCTGCTGTGAAGCTGGCCACAGCTGCTCTTGGACCTCACTCCCCTCTCACCCCTTACCTGCTGTAACATAAGGTAAGCTGCTTCCCTGCTCCTAGACTAATTCTGAAGTAGTTTTCTAGTTGTTTGGAGGGGAATTTGGGAGGGCTTCAGAGGGTTCCTTCCTCACCCTGCCATACTGGCACTGGAAAAGGTTAGATTATTTAAAAACAGAATTCTGTGTTGTCTTCTCCAGCTACTTCACCAGACTGTTAACAGGAGTCCACGATGCACACAAAGAACTCTTACTCTTGGACCAGAGGAAGCCCCTCTGCTCGGCCCTCTTGGCTCTTGGCCATCCTGTCCAGTCTACCTTTCCAGGCTGCTCCAAGTGGAGCACTTGAACTCCATTCTTCTTCCAAACTAGCCTTACTATTCTGGTATATGGGGCAATGCCCTCACACAGCCTATCCCCATTTGCAATGTGCTCCCTCCTCACCTGTGCCTCACAGAGCCCAGTCACGGACCACGTGCTGCATGAAGCCTTTTCCCGGTTCCCAGGGCTGCTCATCTCCCCTCCCCCCACACCATTACTTTGCATTTGCATTGCACATTTTCTGTTTACTTATGTGCGTACACACTGTTAACTGGACAGTGGCTCCCTGAGGGCAGGGGCTACCTCTTGTCTCTGTATCCCCAGTGTCTGACCCGCAATATGTATCAAGTCAGCTTATGATTTATTTGTTACCCTTCACTTTTCCTACATGTCTGGTCCATCTCTTTTGGACATCACTTCTTTAACGCAAGGCATCGTTAGTAACATGCTGGAGTCTACTTGTCCACTGTGTGTCTTTCCACTGTTCTCTGGGTCCCCTGCAATGGTAAGTCTTCAGAGTTTATGGTATTCAATGATCCACAGAAAGAACGCTGGTATTTTTATCTTTTTTTTTTTTTGATGTGGCAATCAGGGTTAAGTGACTTGCCCAGGGTCACACAGCTAGTAAGTGTTGAGTGTCTGAGGCTGGATTTGAACTCAGGTCCTCCTGACTCCAAGGCTGGAACTCTATCCACTGAGACACCTAGCTGCCCCTATTTTTATCTTTTAAAAAAGGTCTTTGGTGACAGAGAACAGCTTGAAATCAGTAAACAAAACAAAAACCGCTGTGTAATTTCCCAAATGTAATCCATTCCACTTTCCTCCTCCTCCTCGGGTTTAGGGCCACCTCAACATCCATTTGCAGTGGCTAGCCAAGATGTGTGCATTGATAGACTAATTCAATTGCGTGTCATATTGTGGGCAACAGATATCCTGTACTTGCATGGCTTTTCCTGGGTGCATTACTAGGTGGATCTCTTGAGTATCTGGAGATCTCACTGTTGGGAGGACCAAGTGAGACAAGGCATACAAAGCGCTTTGTAAATAAGCTTTCAAGGGCCACGTTTGTAAATTATTCTAATTGGCAGGAGCTTCAGAATATCAAATGGGTCATTTTTCTGGGAATGAGGGTGCTTGATCTGAACTCCTGACATCTAAATATCATAGACAGTTAGACTATGCCAACTGACGAATAAACTTTATGGAACAACTTGTCCTCCATATCTTTTTTTTTTTTTTGCTTAGGCAGTTGGGGTTAAGCAACTTGCCCAAGGTCACACTGCTAGTAAGTGTCAAGTGTTTTGGTCTGAGGCTGGATTTGAACTCAGGTCTGCTGCTCTATCCACTATGCCACCTAGGTGCCCCTTCCATATCTTTTGCACGTGCGCTTTCTCAGTGAAAGGCGACATCAGAAAAAAACAATCACAGAGCAGTCACCACAGCTCCAATAAGTCGCCATTGCCTATTTTAGTAATGAAATTTCAGCTTGTGTCTCCTCTAGGGAAATTTCTGCCATCAGACCTAACCAATAATGAATGACCAGAGGATGCTAGGGTGAAAACTCTTCAATATGTAAATGTTTAAAAAAATTTAAAGCATAAACTTAATAACCATCAACAAAATGCTCAAACATACGAAGGGTAAATCTTAAACTCAATACTTAGTATGCCACAGAGCAGAACCAAATGAATTAAGTTAACAAACAAGGCAAGAAAAGGTCTTTGTGCCTTAATCTCCTCCGAGGTCCCTTTTTTCTTCTTTACTCTTTATGTAATCATGCCCAGTGTATGCTCGTTTCTGGTTTTTATTATTCTGCATCCCCTCCACAATGTGTCTTTATATATTTGTGCTTAATAGTTATCTCTTTTTCATGGCATCACATGTGATCATGCCATAATCCGCTCATAAACCTTCCAAATTATTGGACATATATATGTATATATGGAAATATACATGTGTATGTATTCATATATATTACATATATTGCCTCCAACTCAACAGGTTTGATTTTTTCAAAAACATATACTTATTTTTTTCTCTCCAGGATTTTTTTTTTTGGGCAAGGCAATGGGGTTAAATGACTTGCCCAGGGTCACACAGCTAGTATCACGTGTCTGAGGCTGCATTTGAACTCAGGTCCTCCTGACTCCAAGGCCGGTGCTTTATCCACTGCACCACCTAGCTGCCCCCCTTGCTTATCTTTCACAAGTTCAAGTGCTAGGTCTCAAAAGATTAAGACTTACCATGGTCATTCCCAATAAACTAGCTAACCTTACTATTTAGATACAGTACCTGGATCATTCTTCATGAAAACTTCCTATGGCAGGGCTTCTTAACTCAGGGTCCACGGAGAGATTTCTGGGGGAAGGTCTATGAACTTAGATTGGAAAAAATTATATCTAGTATAAAAGAACTGGTTTTCTTTGTAGGCCTGTGCATTTACTTTTATGCATTTAAAAACATTATTTTGAGAAGAGGACAAAAGGCTTTGGCAGATTGCCAAGGGAGTCCATCACAGAAAATGTTAAGGACCCTGGTCTTTGAATATGGAATTAAAACAGGATCCTACAGTCTATTTTAAGCCAATCAATGATGTTCACTTTCACCGAAGCTTGCCTTCACAGATCTTTTTTTTTTACTTACAATATAAAGGAAATTTAATGATTTTTTTCTTCTCCAAACATGCACATGCTCATATGGTCATATATTAAAGAAGACTTTTCTCTCTTCAATAATTTTAATATGTTTATTAAGATTTACAGTCCTGTACTTTCCATTTAGAGCCAGTGCTATTCTTGGCTCTGAAGACATCCGACCTGTCTTTTAGGGAGCTCTTGGGTGAGGAAAATCTCTACCAATGTGGATCAGCATCTGTTCTTCAACACATAGTTTTAGGAACTTGTCTGAGAGATTTGATCCACCTAAGGTCACACCACCAGTATGAGTTCAGAGTCAAAACTTGAACCCAAGTCTTCTTGGTTTCAAAGCCAGCTTTCTAGCCACCAGGCAACACTGCCTCCGAACAGAAAACCTTTCTTTGAAATGTCAGAGGAAGCTATCCCCCTTTATATCCTAAACTGAGTACAAGTCGTGGATTAGGACCAGCGGGTTGGGCTAGCGGACCTTTGTGGTCATTCTAAAAAAGTTTCAGTTCTTAACTCTTTTTGTGTCTCAGAGCCCTCTGGCGCTCTGGTGCAGCCTGCGGATGGACCCCTTCTCATGATAATATTTTAAAGCTAACAGAATAAAAAACCTAGGATCATGACAAAGGAAACCAAAGGTTTAAAGAAAACAAAGATGTAATTTTGTTTCCCATCCAAATTCCCAGAAACCTGAAATCGCTTCACACACGGGGGTGGGGGAGAGAAGGGAGGTGCATCCATGAACTAAAGGCCAGTGGTTCTAGAGTGTCTCTGGTGTGGTTACTGTTCCTATTTTGCAGACTTGCACTGTAAGGTTTAAATAACCCAGCAGAGGAAAACGTCTGAGTGTTAGAACCTGGCAGGAAGAACTCCATCTTACTGCCTCCACCGAGGAGCAGACAGGACACAAGAAATTCGCTAAGAATGTTTCTAGACGCTTTAGGGTATATAACAGGGATGTATCTTGGATTGTTATTATATAAAACAGAATATTAGCACTGACTAACCAACGTATGCCACAACTTTATTAAATCATGAAAAATTTATTAGGTCCATCAATAGTGTTTTTGAACAAGCATTAGTTAAGTCATGAATTTGCTAGTGTCAAAGGCTAAGTCAAATACTAAAGCTATTAAAATATTAGTGTTTACCACATATTTTTCAAACTCACTTCTACTCTCTATATACAGAATTCCTGTTAGAATGCCCAAAGCAGCCATATTGCAAACATTTACATTCCCCATATAAAATGATGTGTAATGTACATCTTCAGATTGGTACAGATTTAAAAATATGTACAAATAAACAATATAGTGTAGTTAACAAACTATCTGACCAGTTAACACACTGAAAGCATCATATGCACATACAACTGAAATGAAAAAAAAATTTTTTTTGAAACCCTCAGGACAAATAGCCTAACCATTAATTTGTGTTTATAAAATTGTACAGAAAAAGGGTGTGTTTGGAAGCCTTCAGTGGGCTGTCAATAATACGGTAATTTTTAATAGTAAAAAACAAACATAAGGTAAATCAGATGTGTGTCCTGATCAATGCTTTGCTGAATAGCCATCTTAAACTCAAATTCATAAACATAAAAACACAATTTGTTCACTGAGCATAAACTATTGCACACAAGCAGTTTCTTTCAAAGAAAAGTAATTATATTTTACATATTTATGAACTTCAAAATGGTTCCCATGTGGTAAGTGTTCTATTTGCACTTTCCAAAACAAGAAACATTCATGAAAAATAAAATCCAGTAATACTGTTTTACCCATTAACCATACTCTAAGGCTAGTCTATGGCAACGGTGTTCTGCTGGGGATTTGGCAACGATAAAAAGACTGTCAAATGGATATGCGTGTCCTGGGCTAAGGTGAGTCCCTAAGGTCTGAAATCACTTTTTCCGGGATTTTCTAGTCCCACGACAATGACACCCATCTTAAAGGCCATGGCCTGACATCACAGTGATGATCAGACAGTAGTGGAGTAACTTTCTCTTCTTTTCTGCCTCCTTCCCTTAGGAATCACCTTACTTTCTCTTGTCTCCAATACGCCATCCTCTGTTTCACTCTCACTACTGCCTTCTGCAGCAGGGTCCAAAGTCATTAGGCCAGCTCTTCTGTGCAGAGGAAAACGGACTACACCTTCCCGAATGGAATTAGCTATAAAATCTTCATCAGAGGAATGGAATGATTCATCATCTCCTATCAAATGGTTGACAATGTGGATCCCATCAAAAGTGGGTTGGTCTGAGAAGCCCCTCTTGCCTTTTAGGCACCGGAGCTGTTTAAAAACAAACAAACAAACCCCCAAACCAGTATATTAATATTGAGCAAACACAAACCAAAACAAATTTCCAACAAAATACATGTTACAAGAAGTAGTCAGGGATTACTCGTCCCTTAAATTACGGTTGTAAGCATCCTCCAACGTGCACCAGTTTCCTGTACCTTCAAAGCTAACACATCATTAAAACTTAACAAGTCCCTACAATACATTTTGACAAGTCAAAGACGACTGTGCACATTAAGACGCCGTTCCTCACCTTCTCAAGAAATGGCGATGGTTTTACACCTTCCTGTGGTTATTCCACCACTAGCTTTATTTACTCCAATACCCTGAACTGTTTCTAGTAATAGGAGCCATTCTGTTCTTACTGCAGAAGAACCAGAAAACAATATGTAGAAACCAGTCAGTCAGTATTTTCCACCTGGAAATACCAACTTCACTTCTCAGGAAGCAAATGAGCATTCTTTTCAAATTTTAAAGAAAAAAAATATGAAATGACTTAGAATGTATTGATAACACAAACACTATTATTATGCTTAAAAAAGAGAAATCAAGAATAAAATGTGGATGCCAGACACTGAAACACTGGCCTTGTAAAATACCCCCCTCCATGGAGTGCCACCAAGCTTCTATCTGCTACCTCTTCTCACCTAGCTCTTAATTAGGGCAGGTATGAGGAAGAAGGGCCTTCCTACAACTGATGCCTGGCTTCATTACAACTAACACCTCAATTATTAAAAAAAAAAAATTAGTCCTTCCACAAGAACTAAAGTCTTGCAATAAGGCTCTGGTGAATTTTATATGCCCACTCTGGTGGACTACATGAGATCTTCCCAAACCCAGCCCCACTTTACAGAAGCTGGGGGGCGGGGGGGGGCAATCACCAAAGAGATCCTCACTTGCAATACTGCATTATCACAACTGCCTTATTCTGAGGCAACCCCATATCACAATATTGCAACCCCACAATGATTTACAGTTCCCAGTCTTAAATTAAGTGCAATCTCTCCCCTTCTCTTTTTTTTTCCCAGTCTTTTTTTTTTTTTAAAGAAATAACAGTGTTTCTTCACTTTTTTCTCTTCCTGGCTGTTAGGAAGGAAGGCACAGCAGAGGAAGCGCAATTTCCTGATTGTTTGGAAGGCGGGAGACTCCTTCAGCACTGTCACTGACCCCTGGGGGTTGGGATAGATCAACTTTCCCTTTAGCTGCCATGAATCACAGGCTGAGGATTTCTTCTGACAGACCAAGAGGCTGAAACAAGGGGCAGTCAATTCCTTCTACCATTACTATACTATCTACCCACACTACAAAAAAATAAATAGGGTTTTTGTTTTTAGTGGCAAGAACAAAAGAATCAAACTTCAATTTTTTACAAATTAAAATTATGTTGAATATTACTGCACATTCATGATCTGATGTCAATTTAGGGAAAAACAACTAAAATAACCACCTAATTAATAAAACAGGACAGGTTACATTTATACACAAATGAGTTTTAAAGTATGCTTCAGGTCTCATGTTATGTCTCTATACCTAAGTAGGAAAACTACCCAATGTTCTCATGAATGTTTTAAGCTCAAGACGCCATAGCATTAAGTTAACTACAATCAAATGGAACTCTGAAGTTACGGGAATTAATTTTTTTAAAAAGCCCCACACCAGACAAGGATAAACTTTAGTTGTCAACACGAGTCTTCAAATAAAATTCTCTAAGAGCAAAGCATCCATAAGTGCAACCCGACTTGTCTGAGCTGGCCAAATCATGGTTTCAAGTTCCAGTGTTTCTGGAGAGATGTTTACTTTGGGAGCCAAACAATTAAAAATGTAGTAAAAGCCTAAGAAGTTCAATTCTCAACTGTTCTGAAGCAGATTACTCATTTTTTATTATTATTTTTCCCCTCTGTCATTGATTCTCCTCCTCTCTTCTTCTTCTTCTTCTCACCCTTGGGACATTTCCCTTCTCTGGATAAAGAATGATTCAATGGACATAAAGTCAAACTCAAAATTGTTCCCTGTCAGTGGCTTGGTTAAGGACTTGGAGATGAGCGAAGACTTAACCAGGAGCTTAAAGCAGGTTTCTAGGTTACCTATGGATGCTGTTAAGCCCTGGATCACTCCAGCCCTCCATCCCACCATTTTGTAGCCTCAGCCTAATGCTAATTTGGCTTATTTCATCCCAAAAGGGAACTGAAATAGCAATGTCTACCTGTGCATGTCCCTCAATTAGGAACACCTGGCTAACTTTAAGTCTCGGTCTGCGCAGAGAACCACCCAACCCACCACCATGCCCTCCTTTCCTTTTTGCCTAGGAGATGCCCACACTATGCAATCCATTTCTTTCTGTACACAGTTCAGTTAATTATACCACAGGCAATCTTCTTCATGTACATACACCCACCCCCATGGTTTTTCAGTACCCTTTCTTCCAACTCTTTCTTCTCTCTTTCCCTCTTTTATTCAGCTCTCTCAGAAAAATCTTTCTCCTTCTTAATTCCAGTTGTGAATCAAAAAATGACCCTGATCTCAAGTATAAATCTAGTACTAGTAATACACTTTATCAAGGAAAATGCAGTAAATTTTGATGTAAGGGTCATCAGCCTTCAAGGTACCTGGTCTTCTTCAGAGGTCACAAAAAAGTATTAGCTACCTCATCTTCCTCTAATTAAACCTGCTTTTTCTCAAGCTGCCCAAGATTAATACATTGTTTTAAAATTTAGCCTCTTTTCCATTTTATTTTACGCAATGAAAATTTTGGCTTTTTACCTGCATTATGGATTAGACTTTTATGGGCTGGCCTGGGAATTTAACCAATATTTAGGAAATAATTTTTGTTGGAAAATGTGCTCTGAATTCCAATAGCCTTATAAGTGAACTTGGGGACCGTAATCCCTTTCTAAGTTTATAAGCCATGGACTCCTTATACACAAGCATGTGCCTGGCAAAACTCTAGATTCTGCTTCATTCTAGAGTCCATTTTGAGATGTTTTAAATTCTGTACCTTCTTTGATTTAACTTTGTAATTTTGTAATAAACAGTTGTGGCAAATAAATTAGCAAAAGTTCCACACACATGCCATATCACAAGAAGTTTCTACTCAATCACAGACTTATAGCAGCAATACAGTTACAGAAATAGAACCATTGTTTGTTACCAGACACTTCTACAGGAGAAAAAAGGTTTACTTAGTTTCCTCTTTATAATATAAAGCCAAAATAAAGAACTAGAAAGGACATTTCCCCTCAAGAACACCTTCTCAGACTGGGGACCATAATTTTTAGGGAACAAATGGAGAGTTCTGGGGTTTAGAAGAGAACTGAGGTAGGAAATGGGATAATTTTGGAGCTGCAGGAAGTTACGTAATGGTGTTGACTCAGTTCACTACAAATAAATGTATGCTATCTAATCTCAACTGGACCCTCCACTGCAGCAACATAATTCTTTACTGCTCCTAAACTGACTCCATCCTTCTCCCACCAGTGGCTGTTTCAAATCTTTCCCCATTCCTCCAAGAGCCTTCCTTCCCACTCTCTTAGCTAAGGATCCTCATGCATGCTTTACCATTGGTCATGACTTCCCTCTACTTTACATTATTCCCAATTCTCTATTCTTTCACTCTCTGAAGAGGAGGTGGCCCTTTTCTTGCCAAGACCAATCCACAGGTTACACATCTCTCTTTGTACACATTAATTTCTCCTGATCTACACCTTCACATGTGGCCCAGTCTTCTTCATCCAAAAAAAAATTCTCATTAGGCCTCACCATTCCAAGTCATTGCCCTATATCTCTCCTCCCTTTTTCAGTCAAAATCTCAGAAGAAAAGCTGTCTACACTCCCTACTTCCACTTCTCCTCTCACTTGCTTAAGCCCTAGCAACTGGATTCCAATTTTATCAACTCTGATTTCTGTCAATGGTCAAACCTGAACTCAACTTTTTTGACCTCTCTGCAGCATCTAACCTTGTTGACCAAGCTCTCCTCTTGAATACTCTTCTCCTGTGTGTGTGTGTGGTTTTAGGCTTTGTCTTGTTTTTTAATGTCTCAGTTCTCTCGCCTTTCTGATTGCACCTTTGAAGCCTCCTTTACGGGGTCACATAGGCAAAACTCTTTCTTGGGCCCTCTTTTCTTTTTTGTCTATGCTCTTTCACTTGGTAATCTCTCATGGGTTTAATCATCACCTGTAAATAGATTCCAAACTTATTTATCCAGCCCACTTCTCCCTCCTTAGCTACAGTCCCACCATCCTCTACTTCCTGGTGGGCACTTCTAAATGGGTGTTCCACAGCAATCCCAAGCTCAGCATGTCCAGTGGAGAACCAACCTCTCTTTGGAACTGTTTCTATAAAGGGACCCACCATGCTTCCAGTCCCCTACGTTCAAAATCTTGGTGTCATCTGTCCCCTGCGTTTTCTTCCTCATCTCTGTCTTCATATCCTTGGCTTCTCAGCTAAAGTGTCACTTTCTGTTGGAGGCCTTCTCAATTCCTGTTGGCGCTTCAGTCTTCTCCTCTGTGAACATCTTATAAGTACCTAGTGACGTGTTGTTTCTCCCATTAGTATGTGAGCTCCTTAGGAGCAGGGAGTAGTTTTGTGTTATTACCTCTTAGTTGAGCCATTACAAAGAGGATCCTAGTCAGCTCCCAGCTTCACCCCTCTAACTCTTCAATCCATTCTCCATATAGCTGCCAAAGTAATTTTCCTACAGGGTAGGCTGGAGTGTTTCATTCTTCTACTCACACTCCAGTGCAGATTACACTTTACTCCCCTTCTCATACTGGCCTTGCTGTTCTTCATGCACAATGTTCCCATCTCGGGCCTACGTGCATTATCCCGGTGAACACGATGCTTGGGAGGAACTACTTTAACGCCAGTTCTGAGAATCCCAAGTCTTCTTCAAGACTCAGCTCAGCTCTGTCTTCTGCAAGCAGCTTTTCTGGATCCCTGCATCTGTTAAAGTTTTCCTCATCATAACTACTATGTATTTTACATAGGTGTTCAT